TATTTTTAGCTTCCACAATCGATTCAGTCTTTTCTGAAATTGTCCTTCCGAGTTTACGAGACTTATCTTTCTCTTTCTTTGTGTGCTCAATGCACCGTGACTATAGCATTGGTGGAATTGATTCTCTTGCTTCGACGCATAGTTGATGAACGTCATTGACTTTAAAAGTCTTGTTACGTTCGTCGATTAAATTTTTTACGTATGCCCATTCTAATTAAATGGAGTTATACTTACAATAAGCTACAGGGAGCCATAGAATTTCGACTTTGTCATTTCTCATTTCTTTGACAAATTTGTTTAACACATAATGTCTTGAATAGTCGTGAGGTCTCGCTAAGTTAAGCAGTTTATATCCGTTGAGGTCTTCAAAATGTTTAAGTTCGACGGGACTTCTCCTTCATGGCTTATCAGCCATTCAATTATCTGTAGCTTTCTCCATTGCGTCGTAGGATTGCGGAATCCTGTATCCAGCATCGTGTGGTATGGCATCTTGTACAATTACCGATTTCTTCTGAAGTACGCGTAGTACGTCTGCAACCTATTTCTGGTGATGTTAAGCGTTCATTTCGTCGTGATAGTTGTTGGTTCCTTTTATTCCTACAAGGCATTTCATTGCTCGATGTACAAATCATCGTCATCTTCTCCAATGTGCAAAACGATGATTTTTTTTCCTGCTCCAGAAGGTGTGATAAAACGACCTCCCTCTCCGTTTGCTTCTTGTACTCTTTTGCGATATAAATCATAGCTGTCGAAGTAACTTGCGTCAATTTGTTCGATACATCCATATTTTCTGCTACGATTAGCTCCACACCATGACTCACCCGTGTAAAAGATTTTGTTACCTTTGTCATAGTATTTTTGGATTTCTCTCAAACAATTATCGCGTTGCCCTGCGATTTTTATGGTTTCCATCCATACAGGTTCTTCGGCCAGTTTTCTATAAGAAAAATGCAATTTTTCGATCCATTTTATTAGAGTAGAGACTTCGAATCCTGGAATATCCAGTACTTCGTTTTTTAGATCTTCGTACAATGCTAATGTAGTGGGAAATTCTTGCCTTGCATAAAAATTGTTAATTTTTTTTCTTATCAAACCTTGCAAGTTTTTGTCACGAGGAATAGACGGCCTTCCACTTCTTCCTGATGATTTAACTTTGCTGTTTTTTCGCCACTCGCTCGTAATCCGTTTCACCGTTTTCTCTTAAATTTTCAAACATTCTGCCATCCTCCTGATTACCTGTGTGATATCGTTCGCTCCATTTTCTTGTTCATTATCGAAATAAGCACGAGCGTTGAATTTCAATGCGAAGATTGCGTATTAGTGGTCTTTGGATTTTTTTTCTAACTTCACAGTCTTCTACATGTGATTCATTCCAATTTGTAGACGACATATCATCGTCACTGACATGTAATGGAGAACTTGTACACCTTTTTGAAAAACTTTCTTTGGCTTCGATGGGACCAACTTCAATAACGTCGTTGATATTCTCTTCACTATTTTTTTGAAGGATTTAAAAATGTCCATCTCTATCACTTTCAGAATGTCGCCCTGTAAATATCAAATATAAATCTTCCGTCGCGTGCAAAATCCGAAATTCTAAACTAAAATGAGAATTATCAGCGTTTTTACGAATAAAAATTAAAGTGACAGCGAAGTGCTGTGCTGCGGCTCAACATTTTGATAGTGACGCAAATATTTCTCAATTTCTGATCATAGATTGGTATTGCAACGCACTTTATTTTTAGGCCTTTAGAAGTGTACAGATTTTCGTGCTTTACTACTAACGAAGTATGAACAAGTATTCGCTATTGAAAAATAATTATCTTTTGTTAGCAGAACCAGCAATATGACGTCGTACAGTAAGAACAGAATAAAAATTGACACACACAGACGAAATTCTACTGATAATGTATTACACTTAAAAAAAATGCTTACCAAAAAAAAATATTTAGAATCACAGCATGAAACAATGCAAACACAATTACTAATACAAATAAATGCACAAAGTATCAGATATTAGAAAGTCGAGAATAAAAATTCGAACGATAAATATACGAAAAGTACTTCACCGAACGAACAAAAAATCGAGACTGGCTCTCGATAGTAGAAAGAGAAAGTTTTCAGTGAAAATAACTCAAATAAGTACTTTGCAAATGTAGTGGAGGAGCCAAATTGCTACGAGACAAATGATTTGAACGGTCAAGAAAAGCGTCAAAACACAAAGTTCATCCAAAAAGACATTGACATCAGCAGAGACCAAAAGTAAATATCAGGTAAGATAAGGATGCGATTAAAATGACTGCAAGACACGGAAAATCAGACATTTTAAACCAAGAAATAAAAAAAAAAGACTTACAAAGGAAAACTATAAATGGAGCGTAAGAAAATGTGCAAACGCCTGTGGTGCGAAACACTACAAAATGAACAATTATAAGATGATAAATATTCCCAATGTTTCAGACGAACAAATAAATCAGAGGAACAATCTTAACGACAAGGTATTATACATAGACAAGGGAAGCCCGACGTCCAGATTGGAAAACCGAAGTCAGGTCTTTAGTTCAGGTTTAGTTTAGTTTTAGTTTAGGTTTAGTTCAGGTTTAGTTTAGTTTAGGTCTTAGTTCAGGAATAATCCTTAAGGATTATTGACCCTTATTCGACATGTAGTTAGTTGATGATTTGTTAGAAAATGTATTCTCTAAAATAGATGCTCTCATAAATGCCCGTAAGCTGTTTTGCAGTTTTTAATTATTTTAATCGAATAGAGTTATAAATCAGACTGTTCTCTAATAGTGTGTCGAATTCCAATCGTTAATATTAACATCTGTTCTGACTTAGAGGGCCCCAAGTCAGTGAGTCGGGAAATATTCAAAAATTGTTAATGCCGGACTTGTCCACCGGCGCGTCAGTCAACTCACTGTACCAATCATCGGGAAGTATTTCCCTCATGGCCCAGAAGGCAACTCTACGGCCCTAGCGACGCCAACAAGCACGCGGTCGAGCACTTGTGGCGTCAGTTAGCTCCAGGCAAATTACGCGGTCATCTCTGTATAATTTGTCGCAGTCAAATCGCGGTTTTGTGCAGTCAGCTCACCTTTGGTAGTATCAAGTACGGTCAAGTAGACTCAGACAACTCTCACGAACATAAGTAAATCATCATAATCAATCTCATCAGTGCCAGTGGTCCAGTAAAGTCCGTTGTAGTGTCTTTGGGCGCGAAGCTGAACTGGCGTCGACGCCATAGTGCCTCACGGACAGTCACACATACATCACACACTCGAACAACTCAGGTGTATAGTGTGCCTGTTGCTATTCACTGTTTGAGACTCTTTTTGGTGAAAAAACAACTATCAGACAATTCAAAAGTGTATGAACAATTAATGTACAGTCAACTCACATAAACTTAGTGATTATTAATTTCTATTGTTTAAGTTAAGTGTTATTGGTTAATAAAATCTATAAAACCCATACAATTTAGTGTTGATAAACCATTTTTTAAGGAACCTTCTAGCATCCAACCTGTTTCGTTATTCTGCTCTTATTTATTACAGTCCACTAGTTTTTTGTTTGCTCGTCCGGCCGACTCGAAGTCAGAACAACATCAAAAAATGTTATGAAAAGTAGGAGCATAAAAATTATTTCTCCTGTGCCTTCTTTTTTGAAATTGATGCTCTCATCATCACCCACGAGCTGGATTTGCGATTTTTAATCATTGTAGTTAGACCGAATTATGAACAAGACATTCCTCTATAAATCTGTCAAATTTCAACCCTCGATATTGATATTGTGAAATATCTGTATGTCTTTATCTAATGACCATTAGACTAACGACAGTTTTATAAGTTGTTAACGTTGCTTGACGATTAGAATGTTCATAGCGACAAGGGGAGAGTTTGTTTATCTCCTTTTCTTGACTGACAAGAAAACCTCGCAAGGTGGTCACCGTCTAATAGCTGTGGTTTGTATGTAATAATCTACGTCGGAAATGATGAACTACGTATTTTTTTCGGCGGCAAAACGTTCAAGGGGGTAAAAATTGCCCCCAAAGTTGACACCCTATAAAGGTGATTTTTAACTTTCACATATTTCTAATCAAAATTTTCCAAAACGACCTCATACGTTGAAAATAACATAAAAATTGATGAAGAAGACCTTTACTTACATAAAACTGACGGATGCACAATTTTTTTTCATTAAATATAACAAAAAATTTAAAACTTTAAAACTATTAGATAGATTACGATTAATCAAAATATTATTTGTTGTTATAGTCATGTGAGCAAACGTAGCTGTAATTCTTATCGCATTCACTGATAAACTATTTTTAAGGAAGATTATTTCTGTAATTGTAATGTACGGATTATTCAATGCTAGATTTTTGAATGAATGTAAAATATTTCGATCATCAAAAGAAATTTCTTCCAACTTTTGATTACTATCAAGCCACTTTACTTTAACTTGTGAATTAATTTGAATATTAACTGTTAATAATTTAACGATCAAATAAACTTTGTACAAAAATTTACAAACTTCAAAGTATTATCAATATAATGTTCAAGATGAATAACATTTACGATTTTAAGATATGTTCTACGATGTTCAAATGACACGCACAACATTACTCAATGTTTTATTGTTTTTTTACCACGTGGGTTTTCTGAAAGCCATAAAATATCTGAACGATGATTTTCTTAACTAATTTTCGGATCTATTCAATTTTCAAGAGATCTCAGAATACCTGGAAAATAACTTAAGTAATATTTAGGTAATATACAATAAAACAACTATAGTAAGCACAATTTACGGCGATGCTCATAAATCATTACTTTTTTCAGTTAACCTCTATCATTGAATTTCATTGCGAATCATTCTTAATTTTTCCGAAGATATATTGAATAGTTATGTAAAATAATTAGAATAAACTTAGACATTGAATGTCAATTTCATTTTGAAATGAAATTTAACTTCCCATTCTTATTCTAATCAACTACTTTTTTTAGGGAGCCGATGAGAAAACAAACTTCATAAAATTTGCGTTATATCTTGGTGCCGCACTATCGCAATTACTCAATTGGTGTTGGTTTGGAAATGAACTGTTACATAAAGTAAGTTTTTTGAATGCAATTATTGAATTGCTATTTAATAGCGAAATGTCTTTCCATATCGATTCTTCCTGTTACATGTCAAACAAAAAAAAAAATAAAATCTTTAATAGTTCGGTGAACTTGAATCCCGACTTCACAAAAGTTGAAAGCTTAAAACAGCCTGGTACACTACAAACAACATTGATGGTTGTATTGGATCCTTCTTTATAGCTTTGGAGGCAAGCTTTGAATGAGTTTAATAGTATTATAAATTGTTTGGAGTTGATCGGAATAGCAGTAGAAAATATTTTCATATTCTAATGCTATCTTTTTGCATCAAAATATTGATATTTAGAAAGGACTTATACCGGCCACTTCGTCTACGTCAATCTCATTTAATTAATATAAATAGCAGTTACTTAAAAGAATAATTGCATCAAATTTCAAAACGTTATTATTTTTTCAGGTAATCTTAGAATTCATTTATCCATTGTAATCAATCATTGTGACATTACTATTTTACATAATATGGCTGCTGGGCTTGTTGGTGCCGACATCCCCACTCATGCACTTTTAAGACTCCGCCCACTGGTGTCTTGCATGCCACAACCGCGAAAGCTCGTCATGAGAAAGAGTCACGATGCACGTCGTCTCGTGTCGTGTTACAATCTATTCTCTACATAATGTACCGATGTATTTATCATCAGTTATCAGTTGAGACGGCCAACGATAATAATCAACGGTGTTTTCATTTATTGAAAGTACAATATGTATCGCAAGAAGTGCAAAATTAGTTCTATTTTCAATATGAGCATTTATACCAATATCCGATTATTTCCATTGAACATTTCTTTCAAAATCTTGAACTTAGTGATTTTTAAAGTTGTTTTACAATCCTAATGGATTTGGAACATTGCAGAATACCAATATCATAGCAAATAATTCATGCCGGTTAGGTGGGGTGCTACTTATAGTGGCATCTATTAATGTATCGTTCCAGTTATTGTCACCTTCTAATTAACCGGGAGCTAAGCATACTGGATGATATGTAGGGTGTAGAATACTCGTAATACTTTACAACATCCGTAGATGATAATATTTATAATTATTTGGACGTACTGGTCTATACTCTTCGAGAGTAAGCCTGTAGAAAATACCTAGATAACTCTCAATGGAACTTCTATGACATCGCCATTGAACAGTTTCTTGGCGATTTTCCAATGCATATCCGAGTCCATTGATGCCTGAGTTGTTATGTTTTGGGTCTGATATACCTTTTGAGTAATTACTGACTGCAGAAGGAATTCTTTTATGTGGAGAATTTTCATTCTATAATTATTATGTTTGAAAACGTAATATAATTGTTTTTATAATAGGAAAAGTAGCGATAATTTTTACGATTAAGATTTATTACCAAAAAATCTTTTTAAAATAAATGGCTAATTACTTATTTTCCATGCTCACATTTCAAGATTATCGATAGAACACTGCAGTAAATAGGAATCAATTATTTATTTCCGAGGGATAATAATCAATAATCTAAGTTCAAATAATTTAAAATGTACTTTTTTACCATGGCCTCGCCAAAAGATTGAATTCTATCCCTACTTTTAGAGAGCAAAATAGCACTTTCTTCCCGCTAAAAACGTCATGTGTAACCTCAACTTCCCTCCCCTCTACAAATTCTAAGCTTACCATGGAATGAGGAGCAGCGCTGATGAACTTATTGAAGGAATATTTTTCCATCCGCAGGACTTTTTTAAACCGGTAGGAACCATGCAAACTGAACGTGTTCACGATATGACATACAAAAATAAAATAAATTTCCTTCAACATACCACTGATATTCATATTTATGGCTTTATGTATGAACTTGAGAGTGATTCATTCCGTTCTTAATGAAACGAAAATGAAAATATTCTTTAAACATCCTGGGTCAACACTGCAAAGTATTATCTAGGCAGTCATAAAACGGCTTCCGTCCGAAGCCGTATCAGATGATGATCGATAGTTCCTCAGTTTGCTTAGATTCTCTTTGTTAAATATGAAGACATTATCAGTACAGTCAATGGAATGTTTAAATAGCTATTGGGCGTGGAGAATGAAACCAACGCAAAAATGTGCGTAAGTGTCGGTAGAATGTTAATGCAAAAAGTCAGGGTCCTGAATGGAAGAAAACCCTTGCAGAAAAATTGCGAAAGATTGCGAAAATAACTTTTTCGCTAATATCTCGAGAACGACTAAAAATATAAATAAAGTTTTGCGTGCAAGTGGTAGAGAAATGTATTCTCTTGCCGTTTATTGATAATACACGATCAAAGAGACCGTCGAGTTTTTTTAAAATTATTTTATATTTATAAAATTTTTTTTTTTAAAAGAAACACATCAGAGCACTTGTTTATCACACTCACAATATTTTTAGCAGTTTTCTTATATTTCTAAATTAGCTTTTGATAAATTAATGTTAATTTGAAAATTTCAAATAAATTTTTTTGCATTTAATCGAATTGGATTTCTTTCCCCCTTCCATTCGATTCGGCATAATATTTACGATTAGGTATGTTCTCTTACTTAAGCTTTCGGTAAGTTGATAACCGAGCTAAAGAGCACACTTTCCGCTGGACCATGGAAAACGATATGCAGCGTACGCGGATGATCTAATTGTCGTCATGGATGGCAATCCAAGGAGTGCCATCTATGATGACAATTGAAGTCAAGGACAGGCAGTCGTTAACACAATACTCACTTGGTGCAAGAATGCCAAGCTCGAGCTATTAAAAACGAAGACGAAGGCAATCTTTATGAAGAGAGAAATAAAACTTAGAGGCAAGAGGAATTACTGGGACAAAAACAACCCCAACTGCAGAGAATATAAACCACATCTCAGAAGAAAGAAAGACAGGCATGAATGTAAACCGCCTAAGATTGCTATAGAGGGTAATAGGATAAAGTACCTAAAAGTTGTTAGGTACCTGGGGGTCTGGTTCGGCAGAGACTTTAAAATTTCCATGCATATTTATAAACGGCGGGCGCGAGCGGAAAAGTCACTTCATAGAATAAGACGCCTTCCGCGAATGCGTTGGAGACTTACTTATCACATGTCCCCGGCATGGAGCGATTTGTGCAATGCTAAAGATTGGCTGACGCTTGCGGCCGCACAGAGGAGCGTCTTGGGAGTTGTTTCACATGCTCGCGCATTTACGCCGAGGGACGGCCTCTGCGTGGCGGTGGGCGTCCCGCCTATACGCATAGCTATCAATGATCTTGATGCGCGATATACTCTTCGTACCGACGAAGTAGTAACGTACAACGGCACTAGGATCGCGTCAGGGGAGACGTTGACGCCGGTAATGAACCTTAGATTGCCAACGATAAAAGTATGGTAGGCAGAATAGGATGCATCTAAGATGGGCTGCAAAACATATTACTTCTTCCCGAACATAGCAGTGGAGCACTTCTTGCTGCACTGTCCCGCATATAGAGACAGACGCACGAGTCTCATACGTTCGGAAACGAACGTTGACCTCAGATCGACATGGTCTGAAATAGCGCTAAAGTTTGTCCAAACGAAGGACACATGTAGGGCCCTCGAACAATTCGTCAAGACAAGCGGGGGAGAAAAATTGTTCGAGGAAGTTAGAAGAATCTGCGAGGCGGTAAGAGAGAAAAGGAGGGTAGTGCGAACGGGAGCGGCAATGCCCAGCACACAGAACTATCCGCCCCGCAGAAGTAGGAGGTCATTACCAGCGCCGTAAGAAAATATAGCTCGTGAACTTCATTGATCCACACTTAGGTGTTGTCGGAGCACCTAGGCACAGGTTGCAGGCTTGCAATCTTCGCAGAACACCTGCAACCTGTGGATCAAATGGAAAGGGATTTCTCACTTAACGATCTTCAACAAAACAAGAATAAACTTTTATATATTTCAGGAAACATCTAACACTAATCATTTTCTTTCTTTCAGCTGTTGACAATATAACAGTGCTCCTCTCACAACATAAACAACTGAGGCCGCCGACCAAAGCGGATAAAACTGGTACTACGGGAGACTGAAATCCAAGCCTGCATCCGGAGCTGCAAAGTCGAAAAACGATAAAGGCGTAAGAATATCACGTCCCAAGTAACGCCGTCACTAGAAGTAGAGTCGTCCCCAGAGTTATGCCTTATAAGTCGAGGTACTCAAACAAAATGTCCTTCTCAGGACAGGAAAACAAGGACTTTTCCAGTGAGAGCTTAAAGAATAAAAAAGGGCCCAATGGATCTTACTGTATACATATAAAATGTTATAGCTGCTATTGTTCTATATGAATAGTCAGCAGCTATAAAAATTCTTGGTTTTGAGTCGAAAATTTTTAAACCTTCGTGATAACCAGAAGTCACTTTTCAAATTTTTTACATATCGGAAAAAAGAGCAAAAGACGGTAATTTTGAAACCGAACAATTTCTGTGTTTTTTGTTCAAATATCAGTAATGTGATTATTTTACCAAAAAATTATTCATGGACAGTTGATTGGGATATAAATAAATGTAACGAATTAAGAGTAAGTTTATGAATTGTATCTTTATTAAATAATGTATCAATAATCGTCGAAATCGATTTCCATTGGTTCTGTAGTTTTTGTATGATCTAACTCTTTTTTGATCTGCTCCTCCGTTTCCGACTCTTCTTCTAAATGTTCTTCTTCTCTGAGTTCATCATTATATTCTTCAACATTACAAATTTCTGATGATTGTTCTGCAGGTTGTATTGCCTTTTTTCCGCAAGTATCCTCTTCGGAGTTATTACAAAGTTGAGTATAGCGAATACCACTCTTTTTGCAAGTGCAACGGCTAGTCGAACAGTCTAGACTCTAAATAACTTTTTGTTTATTAATTACTTGTTCAAGTACTATATCTGGTGCGGGCGGTGCTGTTGTTATGACTGGATACATAATTTTTTAGAATATTCTCTTTCATCTTTATTCTTCTGCGTCCATGTTTTCTCTGAGCCATTTATGTACTTGTAAGTGAACCCTTTTTGTATGTTTTAAAAGTGCTGCTCGAGTTGGAGGTAAACTAGCTAATGACGAATCTTTACTACTATGGAAAACTGTTTGATTGAATAAGCGGTATCTTAATTCTGCAATCGTTGTAGGTTTTTCTTTTGTATTATTATTGAGATACAGCTACGCGGCTACCCTAACTCCCTGTGAAACCGCTCCGGCTCACACAAATTTATCCCTTCTTTGTGG